TGAAAGATACATGTAAAAGAGTCCTACTGCATATAAATTATACCCTAAGGAACCTAATTTTAAAAAAGTTTTGATTTTATAATATACTAATGGTCTGGTGCATGAATTTGTGCATGGTGGAACTGCCCTGATCACAGCAGATCGGGCCGGGCCAGCTCGGGGGAGGGGATGTGGGAGGTTGGCCGGCCAGTCCCATCGCAGATCGGGGGGGTGGGGGGGAGGGCGAGGGGGGGAGACTTTCGAGGGCAGGACTGGCCGAGAGGGAGGGGCCACAGGTGGTTGGCCATCCAGCCCCACCCTCTGGTCAAACTCAGGGTTGAACTCGCGGTAGAAGGGACAATTTGCATATTAGCCTTTTATCATATAGGATAAAAATTTATTCACAAAATGAGTGTGTTGAATCATTCATAATCATATTTGCTTTGATTTTGAGTGATTCCATGAGTCAGTTTTTAAACACAAAAGCAGAAAGTGGACAGAAAGTTATGGAACAGGGTTACTACAGTCATTGGCAACACAGTCATTTGGGGCTGAGGTTCCTTTCTTTGGTGTGAACATGCAGTGGCCATGTCAATGGCATCTTAAACGACACCACGTGAAACACACAATCTATGGAAAAACCATGCTTGGTACACACTTAGCTTTCAGAGGAGACCTGGTCTCCTCAGTTCCTTTATACCCTGCATGCCATGTCTGAGTGCCTCCTGTATAAAACATGGGCTGCTACTATGTATGATCGGGGAGGGGTGTGCACATGGTCTTGCTCTAAGTGTCTCACCTCTCCCTGCCTGAGACTGAAGCTGCTTTGATTTTGGACTACAGATTCAGCAGAGTGCTGGGCACACAAACATTTGTTGACCATTATCACCAGTAACATTTACTTTCAATCCTACCAGCCCTGCTGCCTCACAGAATGATATTCTAACTGTATAATGATTCCTCCTGCAACTGTCTTAAGACAGAAGGGTCCAATTAATAGCTAAGCATATTGAAGTCATATGACTTTCAGATTCCATAACTTTTAAACATTTACCAAGTAGTGAAGACACTCCTAATTTATATTCCTATATAAAATGTCTTCTATTGGCTGCAGTCCATATTCCATACTGCTTTGGAATCCTGGTTTTAGCAACATCAGCAGTTTCTAGACAGAAACTTGGGGTTGTAGCTACCTCAATGACATATATGTCATGGGAGCTCGTCTTTTCTTTCTTATGAAAGGCTTGATACTTTGCCCTCACACTAAAGATAGCTCCTATGTTGTTTTTTGGGGGAAAAAAGAAGATCAATAAAATACAAAGTACATGTTTGAAAGTGAAGTGTAAGTTCAAATTCAGTGCTCTATTCTGTGACAAAACAATGAATCAATAAAAAATATGTGTTGGTGAACCTCTGGTTTATACCTCAAATTTGAAAATGGGAATGGCCCTATGTCTATGCCATCACACTCACCTATAATTAGCATGCCAACGGAGGAGTTTGCGGAAAACAGAGTTTCAAGGGAAACTAGTTGGCATATGAATATGGGAAGAGCAGAGAGAGGCTAAGTTGGTGCTTGAGCATATGAAATGCAATAAGAGGTCCTCTCCACAGAAAGACTGTACAGAGAGATGTCTGGGAGAAAAGATTTATTTATGATCAGGCCTCAAACAGGATAGGATAGACTTTTATTTTTATATTTTTATTCCTGATAGACTGAAAGAACATAGCCACAGTATTTATGAACACTGTAAGGCTATTTGGAGACTATATCAAGACCGAAGGCCTCAAATCAGAAAAGGAAGTAGCAAATTAATTAACCATGTTTATCTTTCCATTTCAATTCCCAACTCTAACCATTTATTTTCTTCAAATAAAGAATTTCTCTTCCCCCTTGTGTTCTTTAGCAAATAAAAATGTGCTTGCGTTTACACTAGTGTATTTAAACTTCGAACACATAATCTAACAAACAAGGATGTTCTCCTAGAAAGATCTCTGGGCAAGATGCACAGTTGCAAATAAGAGTATTCAAGAATAGAAATGTGAATAAGGCATTTAATAAACATGTGCCATCAGAACCCGAGAACGTATTCTCCCTGATAAGATGAAGATGAAGGAAAGACATCAACCGAAGATGAAAAATTATTTGAAGAAAGCTTATATAGATATGTAAATATGTTACTAAAATGTGACTCACACTTTAAAAAAAAATTCTCTTTAGTTGCCTCTGCAAATTCCCGTTGGATAGATGAGCTAATTGAGCCTTAGGTTAAGTGAGTTAACTAGTTCAATTGAAGTTGGTTATAATTTTCAAAACTGTAATGCTCCATACATATTCTTTTACACATATCTGTTGGCACTCTTTTTGTTTTCCTCCAGGACAATTCTCTATATGTGGACATGCTGGATCCAAAGGCATACGCATTTTCCAATAGTACGCATGTTTTTTGGCTTTGTGTTTTAATAGTGGTGGCCACAATGCCAGAGGGGGGAGGGGAAAGGACATACCATATGAAAATTTGTATTTGTGTCATTGGGTTTGACATGAGAGTTGGGCCAAACATTCCCCCTCAAAATCTATCGATCTTCTCGGCAAAAGTGACCTCACTTGGTTCCTTAGAATGGAAGTGGCTCTTTAATTTGGAAAACTTGCTCATCATTTCAGCAGTGGCTGTTACTTGGATGTATCTTAGCCCCTTCTTGGACCACTGTCAGAGAAGGGGTGAAAGGTGACTACTGCTGCTGAGGGCTTATGGCATGACAATGGCTATTTGCTTCATTTTGACACCCCAATGTGGATAGAGCATTAAGCCAAGTGCTTCATTCCAATAGTCTCTTCAGATTTCTTTGAAATGTTTGTACTGCCCTGCTGTTGCCAATCTGCTATTATCTGACATGTACCCAGAAGGGGCTTTAAAATATGCATGAATGGAACTAATAATGGCTATTTGTTAGTGTCTTTAAATACTTTATTTTAGAAAGTTAAATGAACCCTTGTGCTTGATGGATCCTAAATACTTAACAAAACATGGGAACTCACTTCCATGCCTTTATCACTTAAATGAATGATTAAGCTGAATCATAATGGAACCTTTTCTTTTCAACAGTTGGTGGCATCTATACTGTGATTCAGACAAAGGCCAGAACAACAGCAGATGAATGGGGAGACAATTACTTTCTGATTGGTCCATATTTTGAGCAAAATATGAAGACTCAGGTGGAAAAGTGTGAACCTACAAATGACGCTGTTAGAAGAGCAGTGGACATAATGAATCAACATGGCTGCCAGGTAAGGGATACTGACCAACACTTCATTTGACAAGTCTTAGTAAACTGTAATGGGCAAGCAGACACAATTTACATTAACTCTCAATAGAAGACCATTCCTCTACATAGGGAAAAGGAGCAGGTTTGTGAGAAAGATGATGAACTTGATTATAAATAGGTACGTTTTTGAGGCAATATAAATGTCTAGTAATATAATGGGAAAAGGACTTTGCACATGTGATTATGTTAAGGATCTTGTGATGGAGAAATTATCTGGCTGGGCCCAATGTCATCACAAGGGTCCTTATAAGAGGGAGGCAGTTGGATCAGACTTGGAGAGATGTGACAATGGAACAGAGGTTGGCACTGGGAGCTTTGGAGATGGAGGAAGGGTCCACTAGCCAAGGAATGAAGGTGGCCTCTAGAAGCTGAAAAAGGCCAGGAAATAGATTCTCTTCCAGAGACTACAAATGGAATGAAACTCTGCCAACATGTTGATTTTAACCCACAAGATTGATTTCATGCTACAACCCCCTAACCTATAGAATAATTATTTTGTGTCCTTTTAGCCACTAGATTTCTGAGAATTTGTTGCTGTAAATACAGGAATAGTGAGGTCAAGACAAGGGAGAAGAGAGTTTCAAGTATGAAGGAGGAACCAAATCAACAAAGGATTGAACCACGGTCATTTTGGTTTAACAATATTAAGGTCATTCATGGTAACCTTGTTAGATACGCTTCAAAGGAAGGTGAGGTTAAATCAGATTGCTGTGGGTTGAGGAATGTATGAATGGTGAGAAAAGAGTATAAAAGCTGTGGCTATGAGATTTTTCTCTGAAGAGATGAGATAAATTAAGTAGTTTCAGAGTTGTGTGATTTTGAGAATTGGTGTTTTATTAAATGTCAGTGAGGTCTGAGCATATTTATATGCCAAAAAAGAAATATCTAGCAGACAGGGAGAAGGTGAAAATTCAGAAGAAATGAATGATTGAAGAAAGGAAGGCTACTGAGAATGGGAGCGGGAACAAGACCCAAAGCACTAGTGAGAGGATCACTCTCTCCCCTTTCACTTACACAGGTAATAAAGGGTGAATGAAGGACTCAGTATGGTCTCACTCAATGTATTTGATGATCTTAATGAAGTAGGAGTTAAAGGTCCTCTTACAAAAGTTAGGAGGCAAGTGTTAAAATAAAAAAAAAATTGAAGGAAGAAGTTCTGAAAACTGTTGAAGGAAGAGATAAAGAATATCTGACATCTCTGATGTACAGTCAGGACTTTTCAATGTCACAAATGTACGTGACTGGGACTCTCTCCAGCAGCAATCAGCAGCCTGGGCAAAAGTGCAGGAAGATGAGTAGATGAAGATGGTGTTTAATTTCAGCGTTTGTGCAATGGGGCAAACCGGCAAAAGTCTTGGAGGCGGTTGTGCGATTAACTGAATTGATGGGCAGTCACTTTGAAGAACGTAATAGGATTAGACTTTGGGCTGCTACATTAATGAGATAATGGATCATAGGCAATATTTTTAATTAAGATTTCTGGCAGCAACCATACTGAGAAACACTTCCAGCAACATTCATTTTTATAGGAGGAATTGGAGAAATCATATACATTTGTCAACAGAAAAAAAAAACACACTTTTTCTAGTAGAAAATATGTTGACTCCTGTTGCATAAAGGAAAATAAGTGACACAGTAGAAATAATATTGAACTGTGAGTTGCTAAAGATACAGAGCAGTTCAACTTTGGATTTTATCATAAAAACATCTATATATATAAAAGCCTAATATGCAAAATGTCCCCTTGAGGGTTCAACCGACCGGGAGTTCGGTTGCTTGCTATAACGTGTGCTGACCACCAGAGGGTGGCATGGAACAAAGGGAGGCCCCGGCTGGCAGCCAGCAGCTGGGAGCCACTAGGGACCCTACCTGTGCACGATTTTGTGCACTGGGTCTCTAGTAGACTATAATATTAAATCCTAAAACTATGAGCTCAAGGTCAAAGGAGTGAGGATACTTTTTTTTTAAATGACTAAATTTAATGAAAAGCATTTCCCAAGCAGGGAAATATTTTAGATGAATGAATGCAAGCCCATTCTAACTCCATATCAGAGCTTTGTGGTATCATCGTGGTTTTCTGTACAGCATCTGTAATCTGCAATTGAGTTCTAAATAAAGCTTACATCTGCTGAGCACAAATACATGTCCTACCATTCCTACATGGCTCTGTGTTCTTTATCTGGCAGGTACATTTTGGAAGATGGCTGATAGAGGGGAGTCCTTACGTGGTGCTCTTTGACATAGGGTTTTCAGCTTGGAAATTGGACAGGTGGAAGGGTGACCTCTGGGAAGCGTGCAGTGTCGGCATGCCTTATCATGACCGAGAAGCCAACGACATGTTGATATTTGGATCTTTAACAGCCTGGTTCTTAAAAGAGGTACAGTTTACTGGATGGTGATACAGCAGAGGAGCAGCACAATTGTGTTCTGAGCCCAGCATTGTCCAGCAATGACCCCATGACCTTTACATTAAGTAAATTTTGAGATGCTGCCTTTATTGATTGTCCTAGTACATTTCTGAGAAAATGTTCTGCCTTCCTCAAATTAACTATCAGCCTTTGGACTGGGGTAATAATAATGCTTATTAATATATAGGATGATGTGTATAAAATCCAATTATATTTGCTGCTACATAGATGATACTCAACATATGTGCAAGAAAAAATAGTATACATCATGCACTATGTATATGAATTATAGATTCAATGGAATAGAAAATAGCTTGAAATATTTGGTTTTGATTATGCATGAGTTCTTGTGTAATTGCAGTGACTTTTAGATATTTTTATCATTCGCTAGGTGCTGAAGTGATCCCAGCAAGTGCTAAGGAGTCCATAGCAGTGAAATTCCCATAGATGAAAAAAAAAAGAATATTAGAAACTAGTCCTTTTAATTTGTTTTAGTATATATTTTTATTGATTCCAGAGAGGAAGGGAGAAGGAGAGAGGGATAGAAACATCAATGATGAGAGAGAATCATTGATTGGCTGCCTCCTGCACACCCCCTACTGGGGAATGATCCTGCAACCCTCGCATGTGCCCTTGGCTGGAATCGAACCTGGGACCCTTCAGTCTGCAGACTGACGCTCTATCCACTGAGCCAAGCCGGCTAGGGCCAAACTAGTCCTTTTTAAGTGAGCCAAGCCTGCACTCTCCTAAGTCCTCCAAGCTTGGCAGTAAGATTTCTTCACCTTCTTTGCGTTACCTCAAGACGATGATGCTTAACCTGAAAATTAGATGGTGAAGAAAGAGCATCCCTAGCAAAGTGGGGTGTGGTCTAAAGCCAAATCACAGATCTGTATGTTGGGAGCAGGTTCCATCTGGCCAGTCTTTCTTACTGATTGAATCATCGTCCAATAGCCATAAGGTGCTGCCTCAAAGTAAAGGAGAGGGTGGGAAGCAGTCCTATTGCTGTGTGTTGGTGACAGAATAGGAAAAGGAGGGTGAGGGTGCTGGCAGATCTGGGCTAATGACCAATATGAAATCTTGTTTAGTACCTGTTAGTGTCTTTGTCTGCAAACTGCCTCCCCGAGCCACTGCCCCCAGGGCGGAAATCAGCCTCAAGTGTGTGTGTGCGCGCATGTGTGTGTATCTGCTGTCGTCCTTCTGTTAAAGGGAATACAAGGGAGGGAAGCAAGAAAGTAAGAGCTCAGCTTCCTCTAGAGTAAAGCAGTTCTGGAAACTGAGATTGTGTTTTGTTCAAAGGGTAAACAAAGACACTGAAAAAAACCCAAGGCTTTCTGGGCAAGTCCTGTTTCTGCTGTCACCTGCTTCTGCGGCACCATTGACCTGTGCTGTTCATACCTGTGAAAACCTTTGTGAAGAGCAGACACTTTATTTTTACTTTTGTTAATTCTCTCTGGAGGATAATTTTTCCATTGACTTTTAAAAGAGAGTGGAAGGGAGGGAAGGGAAAGAAACTGAGGGGGGAAGAGAGAGAGAAAGAGAGAGAGAGAGCGAGAGAGAGAGAGAGAGAGAGAGAGAGAGGAGATAGACATGTTGATTGGTTGCCTTGCAGAGGTGCTGACCAGAGCCAGAAGGTCGAGGGCCAATGCTCTAACCACTAAACAGCACTGGCCAGGGCAAGAGCAGATACTTGCAAATACAAAGGTTTTAGCTTAAGTCAGTGGTTCTCAAAGAGTATTTCCTGGACCAGCTGGTGTGGCTCAGTGGTTGAGCATGGACCTATGAACCAAGAGGACATGGTTCCATTCCCTGTCGGGGCACGTGCCTGGGTTGCTGACTAGATCTCCACTAGGAGGCATGCAGGAGGCAGTTGATCAATGATTCTCTCCCATCATTGATGTTTCTATCTCTCTCTCTCCCTCTCTGAAATCAATAAAAAATAAAATAAGAGTATTTCCTGGACCATCAGTAGCAGCATCACTTGCGAACTTGTAAGAAATGAAAATTATTGCCCTCCAGCCCAGAATCATTGAATTAGATTACCTGGGGATGAGACCCAGATGTCAGTGCTTAACAAGCCTTCCAGGTGACCTGAGGTAGGTAGGCTAAGTGTGAGGACCGTTGGGCTTTATGCCACTGAATCCTATAAAACACTATTGCTAAATCTACCTGCTTCATATATAGATCCCTTCAAATTGAGCTAAAACTTACAGGCACGATAACTTTCCTGATGTTGTGGGCCATGAGCAAGATCAACTTTCACTGACAGCTTTTCTAAATGCTTTCTTCCTGATGTAGGTGACAGACCATGCAGACGGTAAACACGTCATTACCCAATTCCACGAATGGCAGGCTGGAACCGGACTGATCCTTTCTCGAGCCCGGAAACTTCCTATCGCTACAATTTTTACCACTCACGCCACACTGCTTGGGAGGTATCTCTGCGCCGCAAACATTGATTTCTACAACCATCTTGATTCGGTAAATAGTCCTACTACCTTCCCCCTCACCACCTATTTTCTGATCCTGGAAGCTGACGGATGAGAAGTATTGATCTTGACATTTCATCTGCCAGCCAGATGGCAGCAATGCCCTTTCAACTAATCAATATGCATGACAAAGCCGCCCCTTTGACAGAGAGGCGGTGTGTGTCTACTTTGGAGCAATAGATCCAAGATTCAAAGGCGTGGGGGTGGGGAGGTAAGACTGTGGACACAGGTTGGGCTCCTGACTACCTTGGAGCTTGGGGAATGCTGCCAGGATCCTGTATCACACGCAGCTCTGAGTGGCAGGTAGAGAGCCAGGATTCTAGACATACAGCTTGCACCATGAGCCTTACTTTCTCTATCTCCCAAGTGAAAAATGGTCAGATTTCTCCTGTAACTCTGCAAAGCATAGGTGGGGTTTTTATCGGGGTCAAATAAGACGGAAGGTATTAAAAACAGGGATGTGGGTCCTTGCTGACCAGTTATGTCTGCTCATTTGAGAAGACTGCCCGATTCTATGACCCAGGGTCATTGTTTTGACTTCTTCCTTCTATTTCCCATCAGTTGAATCAGATTAAAGTATGTCTTTTCCATCATATGCCAATAATATTAACAAGGTATGTGCAGCCCTAGTCGGTTTGGCTCGATGGATAGAGCGTCAGCCTGCAGACTGAAGGGTCCCAGGTTCGATTCTGGTCAAGGGCACATGCCAGGTTGCGGGCTCGATCCCCAGTAGGGGGTGTGCAGGAGGCAGCCAATCAATGATTCTCTCTCATCATTGATGTTTCTAATTCTCTCTCCCTCTTCCTTCCTCTCTAAAATCAATAAAAATATATTAAAACACACACACACACACACACACACACACACACACACAAACAAGGCATGTACATACCACTAAGTCAGGGGTTTTGTAGATTTGGTTTCTCTATTGCCAATCAAATCAATTTACTATCTTAGAGGTTCTGTTTTACTGTCAGGAAAATGAGTATGTCGGAAAGTTGATTTCTAAAGACTTTCTAATTTTAAAAAAGTGCTAGGATTCTATGAAATAGTGTGTGTGTGTGTGTTGTGTGTCTGTGTGTGTAATCCTATATAATAAAAGTGTAACATGCAAATTGACTGAACGGCAGAACAACTGGTCGCTATGAGGCACACTGACCACCAGGGGGCAGATGCTCAACACGGGAGCTGCTCCCTGGTGATCAGTGCCCTCCCACAGGGGGAGCGCTGCTCAGCCAGAAGCCAGGCTCATGTCTGGCAAGCGCAGAGGCAGTGGCGGGAGCCCCTCTGGTCTCCACTGCAGGCAGGTGGTAAGAAGTGAGGGGTCCTGGACTGTGAGAGCTCCGGACTGCAGAGGGATGTCTGAGGATGTTTGACTGCTGGCAGGCAGACATTCCCCAAGGGGTCCCGGACTGCGAGAGGGCGCAGGCCTTTCTGGGGGACCCCTCCCCCCCAGTGCACAAATCTCATTCACTGGGCTTCTGGTACATAAATGTTTGTGACAAGTTATACTACTATCTCAAAGACACGGACATTGAATACAGAAAAGTTTTTTTCTGAAAAACTTCAACATTTGCAAAGCAATAAATGATCCTAAAGAGAGTTGACCTATAAAAAGGTTAACCTACTCCAAAGGTCTCTAACTGTAAACAAAAGATGTACATTTAAAATAAAGTCACCACAGGATTCAGAAAGTCAGAACTGGGAAATTTTTTAATGGCATATGATATTGATAGACTAATAAGGGCAAACCAGTGATCTGTGGTAAGTTCACCAACCATGTTTCCTGGAGAAGGGCAGACTTTGATTTTTGTGAAAGAGAAAATGTTAGAGAGGCATATCAAATATTTTACTGTAGAATTCTTAAGAGCATTATATAGTAATTAAGGAAAACAACTAAGAATATACTTCAGCTATTGTTCTTTTTTAAGGAACAAATGCATGGTAGTATATATAGTTATATATAACAAATTTATGCTCTTGATAAAGGTCAGTATTTATATCATACTACTAGAGGCCCGGTACACAAAAATTTGTGCCCTCGGGGGGGGGGGTCCCTCAGCCCGGCCTATGCCCTCTTGCAGTCGGGGACCGCTCGGAGGATGTCCACCTGCTGGCTTAGGCTCGCTCCCTGGGGCATTGGGCCCAAGCTGGCAGTCAGACATCCCTCTGGCAGCCCAGCAGCCCTCGAGGGATGTCCACCTGCCAGTAGGGAGCAGACCTAAGCTGTAGTCAGACATCCTCAGCACTGCTGAGGAGGCAGGAGAGGCTCCCACCACCACCTCTGTGCTGGCAGCCATCAGCCTGGCTTGTGGCTGAGCAGAGGTCCCCCTGTGGGAGCGCACTGACCACCAGGGTGCAGTTCCTGCATTGAGCGTCTGCCCCCGGGTAGTCAGTGTGTGTCATAGTGACCAGTCATTCCCAGTTGTTCTGCTGTTAGGGTCAATTTGCATATTACCCTTTTATTATATAGATTATATAGAATAGAGGCCTGGTGCACAGGTGGGAGCTGACTGATTTGCCCTGAAGGGTGTCCTGGATTAGGGTGGGGGTCCCACTAGGGTGCCTGGCCAGCCTGGGTGAGGGGCTGATGGCTGTTTGCAAGCTGCCCAAGCCCCCCATTGGGGACCCTCACCTCATGAGGTGTCTGGCCAGCCTGGGTGAGGGGCTGAGGGCCATTTTCAGGCTGCCCACACCCCCTTCAGGGTGGGGGTCCCCACTGGGGTGCCTGGCCAGCCTGGGTAAGGGGCTGATGGCTGTTTTCAAACTGACCAAGCCCCCTGGCGACCAAAGCTCCCAGCCTTTCCTTTTTTTTTTTTTTTTATTCGCTCCACCTCCATGGCCATGGCGACTGGAAGCAGGTATCTGGGGTTTATTTACCTTCTATAATTGAAACTTTGTTACCTTGAGAGGAGGCAGCAGCCAGCTAGGAAGCTTGGCTTCTTCCATCACCGGGGCAACCAAGCTTCCCTTTGGGATCGGACCTAACCCGGCAGTCAGACATCCCTCTTGCAGTTTGGGGCTCTTGCAGCCCAGGCCCCCTCGCTCCTTACCACCTGCCTGCAGTGGAGATGGAAGAGGCTCCCTCCACTGTAGCTGTGCTCACCACCCAAGAGCCCAGCTTCTGGCTGAGCAGAGCTCCCCCTGTGGGAGTGCACTGACTACCAGGGGACAGCTCCTGTGTTGAGCGTCTGCCCCATGGTGGTCAGTGTATGTCATAGTGACCAGTTGTTCCTATGTCCAGTCAATTTGCATAGTAGGGTTTTATTATACAGGATGAAATACTTTCCCTGTCCTGTTCTGATCTTATACCTTACTCAGACACTTACTCATTTCTGCCTGATTTTTAATCATTTGCTTGAAAAGTTATATGCTCT